GTTTTGCTGGGTCTCCTTCTTCCTCTTTTTATCAGGAGACTAGATTTAAACGGCAAAGCGAGCTCCTGTTACGGTACCCCCTTCTGTTTTTTGAACTAACAAAGGTAACACTGTCCTGGCCCAGCATCTACTATTCGCCATAATTTGACAAATGAGATTTCATGAATGAACTTAAAGGTCGCTCCCTTACCCGTGTGGCCTTTTTACTTATGTGGACCGCACCTCTTTGAGCATACAGTATCATGGAAAGAGCCCACCCCTGATACTGCAACCTAGGAACGCCACTTACCATAGACACGCAGCGAAAAAGTGCTGGCCTTGACACGGGGGAAGCAGCCACCCAAAAATTGTACTGAAGACCCTAAAAACCCCTAAAAACAATAGTGTTCCCAATTCCCAAAAAATAAAAAATAAACAGCGACTATTTTTATCCTTGCTGAATTTTAAAGGGAAAGAAATGACTTACATCGTCTATTTCTGTTTCTGGAAATATTGCCGTTGCAGGTGTACTAACTCTAAGCACCCTTATCGTGGGTACATCATCCACGCCAAAACTGGCGAGCTAAAGCGGAGCTCGACGAGGTTCGACAGCAAGAGGCGCGTATGTCTGCTCCTTCCAGGACCAACTGAAGCACTCCTCGACATCGGCAGTGGACTGTTCAGATTTTCGGCGTTTTCCGCGGCCGTACAGAGGTGAGTTGAGACGGTTCGTTCCATCCCGGCACCGTTTTCGAGGCGACAACCCATCCCGGCGACCATTAGTATTCCGGCATTGGTCATCCCGGTGATTTATACCCGGCGACTATTACCCTATCCCTATACAGATTGTATTATATCTAGAAAGAAAAAAAATCACACTCTATACAATAACAAATATGAAAACTTAATTCCGGTGAATTGTTTCAATATAATAAACATGAATTAACGTCATATGTTTACCTCGTCTTAAATGTTTTCCATCCCCCCGCTGGGATGACTGTGGCCGGAGTTGACAACCTCAGGACCGAAACATCACCCTCACGTTACAGAATCGCCTCACTCCTGCCGCTCCAGGTTGATTTAATCAAGATAATAAAAAATTGCAAATGCAAAAGCGGGAGAGAATTAGTACTCGCTAGTTTAGCCATTGAGCTCGCTTTCGTCGAGCTGCTCAAGGAGTTGAATTTATCGTTAGACTACACGGCGGGGATGTCCATCGGGGAGTTATCCGCCGGTTACGCAAACGGGCGGATCAATTTCGAGCAGGCGGTCGCGGTCGGGTACGAAATTTCTCGGCTGGTAAGCGATGATCTACGTCTCGAGTACGTCTTAAGTGCCAAAAGCTTGGTGCTGTTGAGCCGGATACAAAAATGGACACCCAATCCGGAAGTGATCCTTCACAGTCTCCTAAATCCGAAACCTTTGGAGGAACGCTTGTTGCAACACAGTCGCTATCCCGAGCTAGCCGTTGTCGTGCTTGGTTCCGATCAGATTCGGCTGAGCGGTTTCGTTTCCTTGCACATTTCGAGCTCTGACGCCGTGACCTCATTCCTGGATGTGGTGGGAAAGTGAGTAGCGACGACGGCGCGTCTTCTCCTGCAGAGATCTCTTTCAGCCTGTACATGCTGGGTCACAATCTCAACGTGGAAGCTCTGTACCCGCCAGTGAAGTGGCCGGTTAGTCGCGGTACGCCCATGATCTCGCCACTAATTAAGTGGAACTACGACATAAATTGGTTCACACTGTTTTACAAGAAGACGGTTTTGCATCCGGGCCACCAAGTTATTTCTTTGGGCAATAAGGACATAGACTGGTCTATCTTACTAGGGCACGTCATTGATGGTAAGTCAGGCAGTTTCACTATCAATTCCTCTCCCGCTTAATTCTTCGATAGGATGCGCTTACAGTTTGAAGGCACTCCGCTACGCGTCGTGTCATTAAACTCGTAGCGCGTGCTTTACTCGTGATCTCCTAATACAATGTCTTTTAAAAATGATCGGATTATGGTCACAGAAACGCAAAAACCCGTGGACCCTATTCACAGCACCTTCTAGCATTTTATGCCCTTTTAAAACCTGAAGTTGCACGTGTTTAGGACTGACAATAATGCCTGCAACCGCATACCTGTTCATGATCTGGGAGACGTACTGTAAAATTGTGGACGTTCCAATGCTCAGCTCTCGGGTGCGCTTCGACAGCGTGCGATTCCATAAAGCCGTTCACATTTCCAAGTTATCGGAGATGGTATTCAAGATCACCATCGGTCGAGGAACCAACAGATTTGAGGTAAATGAATCTTCACCAACCCTCCTACTTTGTGCACTTTAGATCGGAGACGTCGAAGAAGTTATTGTCTCCGGAACCGTACGCACACTCTCAGAGACGGACGAATTCATTGACCTCGCCTTGTCAACTGAAGATGACGAAGGAATCTCCTTCACGTCAAAAGATATTTACAAAGAGCTACGCCTACGGGGTTACAATTACTCGTAAGTGACTTGGTGAAGGTGATGGTTTGTATTGAATTCTTCTAGAGGAGCGTTTCGCGCTCAGGAAACAGCCCATATATCCGGATCGATAAGCTGGATTAAATGGGAACGTAACTGGATCGCATTCATCGATAACATGCTGCAGACGAAACTTCTCGGAGAAGATACCCGAAGTCTGTACGTCCCCACGTTCATCGGCCAGTTGAAGATTGACGCCATGAAGCACTTCGAGTACGTTAAGCAGTTGGACAACCCATCTCTACTGCCTGTGTACAATCATCGCGAGGCGGATGCCATCAGGTGAGTTAGGCAGACTCTTCCGCGATGATTATAAAAAGTGGCGTAGCTGTGGAGGTATCGAGCTGCGGAAGCTTTACGCTACGCCGATCATGCGCCGTAAGGTAACGGCCGAGCCGGTCCTGGAGACGCACAAGTTCGTACCGTTTGACACCGAGCTGCCCATGCAATCTGCGGTGCGCGTCCTGGTGCAGATCTTCCTTGAGAACACACTGTCGCTGAAGGTTAAAATCGTGGAGGTCGCGAAAACTGGCGCGATTTCCCCAATCCTGCAAGAGGCTTTTAACGACCAGCCGCTGGTTAAAACTGAAATCACACTTTTGAGCGACGAAAACCTGACTGCCCCAAATCTGAAAGTCCACAACAAGACATTGTCCTCCGAGAAGCAATGCGAGATAGTCATTCTCGAGGGGGCATCAGGTAACCTTGAACTACTCCAGGAGGCTGAAGGCGTCCTCAAGGAGAACGGCATTATTATCTCAAGGGAGGGAGATGATCTTTCTCCAAATTTCCCTGGCCTCGCGCTTCTGGCGCAAGTAAAAACTGAAACGGAAACGCTAGTGTTGCTGAGGAAGGTTGTGAGCTACCGGAAAGAGCACGTGATCATGGCCAAGTTTGATGGTACAACTTACGACTGGTTGCCCAAACTTCAGAGTGCCATGCGCAATGAAACCAAAACGTTGGTGGTCGTCGAAAATGAGCCCCTAAGCGGCGTGCTCGGCTTTGTCAATTGTCTAAGACGCGAACCTGGAGGAATGAATGTGAAATGCGTCTTTGTTCAGGACGGGAACGTTAAATTTAACCTCTCCGATCCACTCTTCAGCGAACAGCTAAACAAAGACTTGGCGATTAACGTGTTGAAGCACGGCGCTTGGGGTACCTATCGCCATCTGCCTCTGGAGCGCTTGGAGGAGGTTGAAAGCCAGCACGTCTTCTGCAACCAGAACGTCGTGGGAAACATGTCGACGCTCGGCTGGGTCGAAGGACTACTCCCGCAGGAGAACGCTAAGGACCCCGAACGATCGGTCAAGGTTTGTACGAAGGTTCCACCAGGTGCTGGCTTAAGGGCTTGTCTAGGTATACGCCAGTTCCATCAACTTCATGAATATTATGTTGGCTTCCGGTCGTGTTCCTTCGGAGGCGTTCATAAAGGATCGGCTTGCTTTAACCACAGCGCAAGGTCTTGAGTACGCCGGAATAGATGCAACGTAAATTCAGTTACTGAGAGGACGATAAGGTTGGCACCCCCACTGTGCCCAAATCAAGTAAAAATATACCTATAATTTAGGACTAATTAGTACCCACAAAATTAGAATTTGTACTCGCTTAGTTCTACCAGAAAACCGATTTTTAAAGTGGGGGGTGCTAACTTGAACACCCGCACTGTTCCCCTTGACCTTTATGAGTATCCTCTTCTGACACTTTCCGAGATATTCGCTCTTAAAGATTTGACATGGATATATTTCATTCAAATGTACCAATCGCCCTT